GTCTTGGTTTTGACGACCGCGACCGCCGCCACCGCCTCCAGAGTTCTTTTGGCGCTGTCATTCTGTTAGTTACAACTGCCTCCAAGGTAGATTCGAGGTCTGTCACTTACCACTGCGTCGACCTTCTCTTCGATCGCTTGCTTGGCTCTGGCGATACTGTCGCGCGAGCCGATGAGAGCAATCTCTCGTTGAACCTCGCCTGGACCGGAAGACTGGGCAACATTGATCTTGCAACCAGTGCCATTCTGCATATCGCGGATGGTCTCGCCTCCCTTGCCGATAATCATGCCCACGGCCTCGGACGGGACGTAAATGGCGTCGTTGATCTTGTCACCGCCGCCGCCACCACCACCTCCACCCATGGGGCCAGAGTCTCTCTGATGACCACCACCGTCGTGTCTCTGAGGCTTCTTGGCGGGGGCTGCGGGTTGACCCTCGTTCCGGCTATCGCTGTCCACAATCTCCATGATCAGATCCTTGGCTTGGGCAGCTGATTCGCGAGAGCCGATAAGGTTGACAGGACGAAGCCCGTTGACACTCTTAGATTCACCAACAATATTGATGTGGCAGCCGGACCGCTCCTGCAAATCGCGAATAGTCTCGCCACCACGACCGATGATCAGGCCCACGGTTCTATCGGGAACCATAATCTGCATGCAGTCCTCACCATCACGTAGAGCTGCAGCTCCAGCTCCAGCGGCGGCAGCGCTTACTTCAGGTGGCCCAGCGCGGTGGTCGCGGGGAGGGGGTCCCTTGGGGTTCGCAGCGCCACGGTTGATGGCGCCCATGCCGCTGTCGTCGATAATGCGGTTGATGGCCTCTTTGACCTCACTGCGCTGTGCCCTGGGACCAGTGATCTTGCATTGGCGGAAAGGGCCGTTATCGCTGGAAGGCAGGAACTGCACTCGGCAGTTGGACTCGGACTCGATGCGACGAAGGTTCTCGCCCTGTCTACCGATGATGAGACCAACGAGACTCGACTCGATCTGGATAGTCTCGGCGTTGTCGTCACCGCCGCCGCCGCCACTTCCTCTCAACGGAGATCGCTCTCTGCCGTTGGAGTTGCGGGGAGAGAAAGTGCGACCACCACGCGGGCCAGGGCTGTAAGACCGCTCGCGAGCGTGACCATAGTCTCGTGGAGCAGGGCGGTCATCCCGGCGTTCGTCTCTGTAGGGGTTGAAGTTGTCGCGGAACTGGTCGCGACGGTTGGAAGGAGAGCGAGACCGCGAGGATCGGCCGTAGTTTCGAGGATCCGGGCCGCGGGGAGCTTCGTTGGAGTAGACGAGGGGTCGGTCGTAGGATGTCACGCCCTTCTCAGCAGCGAAGGCCTTGGCCTGCGCAATGGCATCGGCGATGCTGACTGTGCCAGAGTTGACAGGGCGGATCGAGCTAAGATCCAGACTGCCGCTGGATGAAGGCTGGGGCAGTCCCGGGTAGCCACCGCCGCCGCCATAAGGAGGCGCGTTCTGTTGCGGCATCGGGGGGTAGGATGGAGGCGGCTGGCCGCCGGGAGGAGGAGGATAGCTAGGCGGCATGCCGGGCTGTCCCTGGGTCGGCGTCGAAGACGTGCCTCTTTGTGCTGCGCCTGGATGAAGAAATGCAATCAGTCGGTATTCGAGGGTGCAGAAGCAGATTCGCTTCGTGTCTCGGGTACCTACCTAGGGCAGCGAGGATGGAGGAGATGTCGCGAGGTGGTTCGGCCATTGTGGCGGTCGCGTATGAACAATTCAGGGCACGATCAAAGGTAGATTATGACTTGTCAAAGAAGAAGTGATCGATCGTATCGGAGGGCTGAAGACTTTTTGCGCGCGCAAGTGGAATTTTCAGGGCGGCGCAGAAATGAGTCGGATTGATTCCGAGAGTGGGTTTGATCAGGTGACAAGGATGTGTGTCAATGCCAGCAATCACAATGTGAGGTCGCAAATTAGGCTTCAGACAATCACGGCCTTAAATGAAGTTGAATCGCGAAGGATTCTCAGGTGTTGTCAGCTTGTCAAGATGTGCAAGGGCAAGCTGAGGTGGAAGATGTGATGGCGAGGTTTGGAGTTTGGCGAGACCGCCTGCCGAAAACAGATTGCTCCTTCTTGTGCAGCGTGGGTTGAGCTGTGAATGTGATGCGCAAGGTCGGCCAGGGGCAGGAGGCTGGAAAGTGGCATGGATCCAGTGAAAAAATGGTTGTGCCGGACTTTCGTTCTTCCCTTGATGGCCGTGCTTAGATAAGGCACGTTCCTCTACCCGCCCACGTGCCGTCCCATCAGAGTTCGAAAGCACGTGACACGCAAGATCACAAAAGCTTGAACTTCCATGGATCCGTAATTGTGGCACAGGCAAGCACGGCAGGTCAAGCCACTTCTCGGGCTTGCCATCTCACAGCCTCTTATGTCGTCACCGTCGGCAACTTGGAAGGCATGGGTGATTGGCTACCTTACCTTGCGATTCGAGGCATCTGAGTGACGTGCAATCCCAATGACCAACAAGACGGAGCTAGGATGACTGAGACTGGGTAGTCTCATACGGAGGGTTTTCACGTGAGTTTGCAACAATGCAGACTGGCGTGACTAGCTCAAGGCGCAGCTATAGCAAGTCATGTCAATGCAATGCGAGACAGTTGGATGTAGCCGACTGACTTATTGCTTGAATGGCAGCAGAGATGTGGCAATTACCCATCTCACGATGAAGTAGGTAGTTAGTTTAGGTACTGGCAAACTGAACCGACGTCTACGGTGATTGCGTGCAATATCTCAGCTGATTTAAAGAGGAAGATCCGTGATATTATACACGGAACTGCGGAACTGACCACAAATGAATCTCTCAACTTGAGGTTGCTCATATGTCGGTTTCTGTACTAAAAATCGCAAGCGCCGACCTCATGGCTGGCAGCGATGAGTTCTGTAGCGAAGCGCCCATCGTCGCAGAGCGCGGGCCACCGGCGGCCAATCAATCTTTGCCAGCGTCAAGACTTGAGACGACCCCACAGAAAGAAGGAAGGAGCGTGGGAGCTTGGGTGCACAGGGCAAGTGCGAACTTCTTGTTTAGTGGAGCCACTGCCAAATGCCGCAACATTCCAGGTTCCATGGACTTCCAGGTTGCGACCATCGATGGTACCTGATTAATCTCGCGAGGAAGGAATAATGGAACAAATGTAACTTGGAAGGCACCTTTACGCTCACGCTTACCCTCGCCCGACGGCGCCTGCGCTTCTCGTCGGCAAGAGGAGAAGGAAGAAGCAGGGCATCTCACGTTGCGTTCCTTCTTTGCCTTCCAACTCTTTCAGTCTTATCTCTGTGCCTGAGGTGAATGACCGGCCAATGCCATTAGACGAACATTCCTGGGATGCCACGATTTGTGGGATTTCGACAAGCTTTTCCCACCGTCTGACCAAGATCAGCCTCCAAAAGACCGTTCCTGTCGTAAACCGGTTTTTAGCATTCCGCGGTGGTCGGTGGCAAAAGCCTTGGCATCGATCATTGCTTGATGCTTAGCAGGGACCTCACGCCTCAAGAACCTCTAGGGTGAGGGAGCACAGAGACGAGCAGCCGGCAAGTCACGAATCACAACACCAAAAAAACTATCTAGGGTTCATCTCCACTTTTTGCCATTGACCTGCCCAATTCCCGGCCATTCTTGCCATCTGCTTACAAGGATTAGATGTTAGCGGCGAGAACCGAATTGCCTTTTTCCCACGACGATTGGACAAAATGTTTGGCAACGCCCTCAGGGGTCCCCTGCTGGCGCCAGCCATCCGCCGTCTCTTTTCGTTCGCTGGCTGAAGATCTTTGCTCTGTTCCTGCTTCGCTCGCTGCGGTCCCTCACATCCTCTCCCCGGTCACCGTGACCCTTCGTGCAGTTTCCGAGAGAAAACCACACAAACCTCGCGACATCCCCGGATGCTCCAGCAAATCCAGAATCGTCCAGACCAGCCTAACCAGGCCAACTCACCGTTTCTCCGCCCGCAACGGCACCAAACCCGTCCATGCCTCCTCCGCCGGGCACAGCCACCGGCAACCACCTGGTCTACTGGCGTGACTCGCGACGGGGATGCCACTGGAGCGGCGCCGTCCACCTCGCACCAGAACGGTACCTTATCCTTACGAGGTGGCACGGGTGGGAAGCTCTCCGCAATAATCCCCCGGCCTTGCCAATGACGTCGCAGCGCATTCTTGTCGTGAGCTCTCTGGATCAACCCGAGCCTATGAGCGAGACCAGGTTGTGTTAAAATGCCTTCTACCCTCTGCTACACCCCCGGAAAGGCGACTTTTGGAAAGATGGGCACCATTCAACCGTTGCTCCGTGGTGTCCCCTTGTTCAGTGACTCAAATCTCGACTTGTATATCACTCTCGAGTTCGCCCCCATTCATGAAGCCATTAACTGTTGGCCTGACTTGAATAGGGCTATAGCTCTTATGATACCGCAACCGAATCTCACTCATCAAGTTCCAAGCAAGAGTCTCATCGTTCGATAAGACCTCATTGTAGGAGCAACAGAAACCGACTCACACCTTCTCACTCTCGCCAAGCAAACTCACACCAGACCCTCAGCTCTCAGCTCTCACACCCAGCTCTGGCCTCGACAAGACGGATCGAGTCTATCATTACAGGGCGTAACATCATCTGATCTGAATACGGGCAACACGACATCAAATCTCGAGAGCCCCATTCCGGCCTCCGAAAATATCGCTTTGCCTTAGCAGCGTTTGGGCAGCCGCTCATCGTGACCCCGGACGACAGATTTGGTTGGCTGAGAGCGGCCGTTGAGCGCGCTTAGAAAACGAGCCTCGCCCAAATCCCCATATCCACCCTCACCGGGTGTCGCCAAACGAAACAAAGATTTGGGCCAAGTCGAGATAATTTCCCTTCAAGGCCACGGCCAAAGGGCCCATTGCTGGCTTTCTTTGGCATTGTGGTGTGAATCAGGTAAGCTGCCTTTATTTTCTTTTCTCGACTTTGTTCCAATTGTTGCGCGCCTATTGCTGGGTGATTTCGTGGGCCTGGCCGTGTTAGTCGGCTTCCTTTTTATTATGCGTACTGCCCAGTCATTCCTGTCCACTCTTGTCTCTGTCGTCCTTCCAAGTCATCCTCGTCCTGTGTATTCATATCCTCTCCCGAAAAAAAGTACCCCACAATGAATGAATAGAAGCTTGTCCAGAAATCAGTGCTTGACGAGTTTCCTTTGTCACTCTACTTCCTTCCTCTCTTTTTCCTCTTTTCCTCTTTTCCTCTTTTCCCCTTTGTCGAGTGATTCACCTAATTCCATCACCAACTCCAACAATTAATTGCTCCTCGACGTCGACCGCCGTTTTTTCGCTTCATTTCTGGCCTTCGCCATTTTTATTTTATTTTATTTCTCATTCATTTTTCTCTGCTGGCTCAGAACTACTAGCATCGGCTTCTTACATTCTTCGATAGAATCAACATGTTTTCCTCACGGAATCGCAAGGAGGAGGCGGCCTACCCGGCCGTCCCCGACTCTCTCAGGTCGGACTCGCTCAAGATGGCGGAACTTAGAAAGACGCAACAAGCGCGAGCCGACACTTCCCCTGCCATAACACCATACCTCAGTCTTCAAGCCAGGCTCTCTCAGATCTGGCTGAACCGCTGGACGATCTTGCTATTACTCGTCCTCCTTAGAGTCATCCTGCTCATCGCCAGCCTCAACGACAATGTCGACGACGCGAATCAAAAAGCACTCTCTGCTTGCACAAAGGTCGAAGATATCGGCAGCGCCATGGCCTCCATGCCTCACTACCTCTCTGTCGGCGTCAACGAGCTATCAGCCAAGGGCATCGAGAAGACCCTCGACGGCATGGTTGCCGCACTAGGTCTAATCCTTACTGGTGTCCAGAATCTCATCATCTTCGTCATCAACATGATGACCTCGATGTACACCTGCCTCATCACTGCCTTCATCCATGGCGGTCTTGACGTTGCCTCTGACGTGACCAAGAAGGTCACCGACGCCATGAACAAGGTGGTTGGCGACATCAGCAACACCATTGATGGTAAGGCCAAGAGTCTCTCAGACGGCATCAACAAGGCCGTGGACGCAATCGAAAACTCCGTCCTCGGTAGCGTTCTGCCTGACTTCCCCAAGGTCGACTTCTCTGGGCCCGTCAATGACCTGCGCGACATCAAGATCGACTCCAGCGGCTTCGTCAGTGACATCAACAAGCTCAACGACGACCTGCCCACCTTTGAGGAGGTTCAGAATATGACGGCCCAGGCCATCTCGTTCCCTTTCAACCTGCTCAAGCAGACTGTCAACGATGCCTACAAGGGCTACAAGTTCGATCGATCAGTCTTCCCTGTCGCCCAAAAGCAGGCGCTCCAGTTCTGCTCGACCAACAATAACATCTCCGACTTCTTCAACAACCTGCGAGACATGATTCAGAAGGCTCGCATTATCTTCATTGTCGTTCTCTGCATCTTGGCTGTGTTGGTCATTGCACCCATGGCTTGGCTGGAGATTAGGCGCTGGAGACGCGAGCGAAAGCACGCTCAGATCATGGCGAGCAACCAGTACGACTCGATGGACGTGGTCTACATCGCCTCCCGCCCAATGACCGCTACCTGGGGTATTAAGATTGCTTCCAAGTTCAAGGGCCGTCGCCAGATCTTGGTTCGCTGGGCAATTGCGTACGCCACATCACTTCCCGCTCTCTTCGTCCTGTCTCTTGCTATTGCTGGCTTCTTCTCCTGCTTGTGCCAATACGTCTTGCTCAAGGCTGTCGAAAGAGAAGTGCCCGCCCTTGCCAACCAGGTCGGTGAATTCGCCGGGGAAGTCGTCACCTCGCTCCAGGATGTCTCCAAGCAGTGGGCCGACGATGCCAACGGTGTCGTGCTGTCTACACAGAACGAGATCAATCAAGACATGCTCGGCTACGTCACGAACGCTACTTCGGCGGTCAACGACACGTTGAACACATTCACCAACACCATGACAACTGGTCTGGAGACTGTCTTCAACGGCACCATCCTGATTAACCCCATCAAGGACGTCATTCGCTGCACTATTGGCCTCAAGGTCGAGGCTGTCCAGAAGGGACTTACTTGGGTCCATGATCACTCGCAGATCTCGTTCCCTCTCTTCGACAACGATACCTTCAGCCTCGGCGCTCAAGAGTCTATCTCGGGCGACTCAGATCTCAAGACCTTCCTCTCGTCACCCTCAAGCGTGTCAACGGACGAGGTGACCGGTGCCGTGACTCACGTTACCGACATGCTCCGACGGGGCATCATCAAGGAAGCGCTCATCTCTACTGGCATCCTTCTCATCTACGTCATTGTCGTTCTCATCGGCATCATCCGCGCCTTGGTTGGCATGGCTATGCCTGACAAAGGCCGTGGTGAGGGCGGTTTGCGCTACACCGGAGACGACCGCCCAGCGATGAGTCCGAGAAGCCCGCCCAGATACCATGGCAACGACTCTCGATTCCCACAATTTGGTAGCGACGCGTCTGCTGTGGACGATGACCACTACTCGGGCATGCGAGATGAGAAGGCCCTAAAGAAGACGAGCGTGCAGAGCGGCAGGGCGCAGCCCACAGAGGGTCATCAACGACAAAGCTCGTATGGGCACCTCGACACAGCATCATCAACCAAGTTTTAGAACGGTATCTACGAAGTATCAACAACAGAAGGAGAAAAAGACAAAAAAAGACAAAGAGGTTGGAGACCTTTATACCTCCGGCCTGGGCTGGACCGAGCGCCGAGAGATACCCCTCATTTACAACAGGTCTGAAAGAGAGATAATACGAAGAGCATGATATTTGGGCGTTGGACCATGACTATCAGGTATTTCGAATTTTTGATGGAATGGGAAAGGGATGGAGAGGGAATACTTCAAAAAGATACCAACGGCTCAGTCGCCGCACCGTTTGTTTTCGATTCTACGAAGAATCTCATTTTTTGCGCTCTGATTGACACCAGTCATCAAACCTACTCATTCCCTGGAATGAACTTTTGGTTCTGTAGCAGCGTCACCGACTGCCAGGATGTCTACTCCGGTATATACCTCTAGGCAGTTCAAGATTCAATATACTGCTAGCTGCAACCAAACACTCGATTCCTCGTTCGCTAGTGATGTAGCCGCTCTAGAAAGGTGAATATGTCGGATTGGAAGTCCAATTCGGCCGCGAGTAGGGGCAGAGCATGGGCCACCTCGAGGGGGTACACTTAGACCTCGACTACCCACCCAACCTCCGGTTGGAATCTCCCTTCTACTCCTTACGCAGAATCAATCAATACAGAGATATTGATACTTCGTCACCCACAGGACCCTACGGTTCGAACCAACTTACCTGTGAAAGGAATACCAACAGAATGACTGATGCCGGGAAGTGACACACTTGAAGCTCCGGGCGGTATTACCGCATCTACCACGGATCCAATTGTCAGATTTGTCGCCAGTAGTAAGCCGTGATGAGGATGACTGCTACGGTGGCGGCGGCGGCGACGTCAACAGTGATGTCGTCTGATCTTGGTCAATCCTATGAGACACCTGAACTTTCTCTGATGAATCTTCAACCGCTGTCAACATCATCCCTCGGTATTGTGCTCCGTGGTAATTCGAGGCAGCTCCGTTCACACCTTTCCAATTATTGCCTTCACCTGCGGAGATGAACAGACGTCGTGGAAAAGCAATATCTGATTAGCAAGACAGACTTTCGGGACAATTAGACCGAGAAGTTAGAACGGGACCCATACTAAGGCGGGATGTCACCGAAAGTCTAGAAAGAGCCTCCTGAATGGAGTAATCAAGGCCGCTGTACGGATATCATGGTGTCGCGTGTGCCATGGACGGAGAGATTAGAATCCCATGTTTTGTTTGCCTGCCGGGGCGGGCAATGGTGATGAATGGTGGGGGTGCGGTTTGCCATGGCGGATGGCAAAAGTGGAGACTCGGAAGTCTGGAATGACCTCTTTTGGGCATCTCCGCCCCGCCCTCCGACCGACTTTCTGGGGCGTCATCGTCAGGGACTCCCGGCCCCACACCCGCCACCCTTTTGATGGGAACCGATGCCGGATGGGCGGCCTGGTCGTACCTGATTCGAGAGATCTGAGTGGTCCAGGGCCTCGGCTCAAGGTTCTTTGGACTCCAAGATTTGTCTTTATCGAAGTGCCTAGCATCTTCGTTTCGTAGGTATTCCCTTGAGGCTCGAAGGGAGCATTCCGGGGATCGATCGGGTGACCATTGCAGGCCGTCCATCTTGGCGGACGATGGGCGGGCAGTCGATATAGCGGTTGGGTTGGTCATTTGGAAGTGCTGGGGGGGAAAACATAGATCCCAAGTGCCCGGTGTTCTGCCCACTTGGTACACTGCACATCCAGTACCTTTGCCGCGGGATACAGCAGTCCCAGCTTGCTACGGGCAGCTGTATCGGGTGGGCACGCAGGGCACGTCGGAGCTCCCGTCCGTTGGGAGGTACCCTTTTCACACCGTCCCGCCCCTTTGGCAAGACCGCTATCCGTGCTCCGAAAAGAAAACCGCCCGCCCAAAGAGTCATTGCTTCTTCCCCCACGTCTGAGATCATTAAGTACCTTTTTTCCCATTGGAATTCTTTCCCCTACTTAAAACTACTACCACCTTCAACCTTTCTCACATCTCAAGTTTTTCTTGTGATACAAAGCCCCCCCCCCCCCCAGCGAGTCAAAAAGTTGTTCTTTTACCCATATACCCCTTCCCAATTGACTTTTTTTCTTCTTGTTTCTACTCTAAATAACTACAAAATGGAAGGCATCAGGCAAACGTTTGCGCGCTGCAAGGCCCAAGGAAGGGTGAGTCTTTTGCCCCCCATGTTGCTGTGTTGCCCCTCGTTGCGATCGCGGGGCTCTCCCCCGCCGACCGCTCCCAACGACGATGGTTCTCTGGCACCGCCAAGATTTCGCAGCAACAACGAGAAAAGAAGCAATTGGACTGGACTGACGATATGTAATAGTCTGCGCTCGTTACCTATGTTACCGCTGGTTTCCCCACGCCCCAAGACACTCCCAATGTCTTGTTGGCTATGGAGAAGGGTGGCGCTGGTAACTCTCTTCGCAACATTGTGCGTTGGTAAAAGGACACCTGACTGACAGTTTACAGATGTGATCGAACTTGGTGCCCCCTTCACCGACCCAATTGCCGACGGCCCGACTATTCAGACATCCAACACCGTGAGTAGTGGCCAGAATGGGAACCAATTGGTCATACAGCGAAGACTGACAAGGGAAAACAGGTGGCGCTGCAACATGGAGTCACGATCGAGTCAACACTCAAGATGGTCAAGGATGCTCGCGACCGGGGCCTGAAGGCGCCTGTGATGTTGATGGGATACTACAACCCTCTTCTCAGCTACGGCGAGCAGAGACTCCTGACCGACTGCAAGACATCGGGCGTCAACGGCTTCATCGTCGTCGACTTGCCCCCTGAGGAGGCCATTTCTTTCCGCAAGCTCTGCACTAAGGGAGGGTATGTTTACCACACCGCCTCCCAACTAAGCCACTGCATACTGATAAGCAAAACACAGACTCTCATACGTCCCCCTGATCGCCCCCGCAACATCAGACGCTCGCATGAAGATTCTCTGCAAGCTGGCCGACTCCTTCATCTACGTCGTCTCCCGCCAGGGCGTCACTGGCGCTCTCGGCTCCATGAACGCAAACCTCCCCGACCTCGTCGCCCGCGTAAAGAAGTACAGCGGCAACAAGCCCGCCGCTGTCGGCTTCGGCGTCAGCACCCGCGACCACTTCCTCAGCGTTGCCCAGCTTGCCGACGGTGTTGTCGTCGGATCTCAAATCATCACCACCCTCCAAAAGGCCGCCCCCGGCGAGCTCTTCAACGACGTTGCAAAGTACTGCTCCTACCTCTGCGGTCGCGACTCCGATGAGACCACCCGCGAGGTCGGCATGGTCGAGGCCATGGCTGCCGCTAAGCAGCCCATTGAGGAGCCTACCGTCGACGAACGCATCACCGCCGACCAGGACAGTGAGCTTGTTGCCGAGCTTGCCGCCATGCACGGCAAGATTCCCGACCGTTTCGGCGACTTCGGCGGCCAGTACGTCCCCGAGTCCCTCATGGACTGCCTGTCTGAGCTCGAGGAGGGCTTCAACCAGATCAAGGACGACCCTTCCTTCTGGGAGGAGTACCGCAGCTACTACGAGTACATGGGCCGTCCCGGCCACCTCCACCTCGCCGAGCGTCTCACTGAGCACGCCGGCGGTGCCAACATCTGGCTGAAGCGTGAGGATCTTAACCACACCGGCTCCCACAAGATCAACAACGCCCTCGGCCAACTCCTCCTCGCCAAGCGCCTCGGCAAGACGAAGATCATCGCCGAGACGGGCGCCGGCCAGCACGGTGTCGCCACGGCCACCGTCTGCGCCAAGTTCGGCATGGAGTGCACAGTCTACATGGGTGCTGAGGACGTCCGTCGCCAGGCCCTTAACGTTTTCCGCATGAAGCTCCTCGGCGCCAAGGTTGTTGCCGTCGAGGCCGGCAGCAAGACCCTCCGCGACGCCGTCAACGAGGCCATGCGCGCCTGGGTCGTCGAGCTCGACACCACGCACTACATCATCGGTTCCGCCATCGGCCCGCACCCCTTCCCCACCATCGTCCGCACCTTCCAGTCTGTCATCGGTAACGAGACCAAGGCGCAGATGCTCGAGAAGAGGGGCAAGCTTCCCGACGCAGTCGTCGCCTGTGTTGGCGGTGGCAGCAACGCCGTCGGCATGTTCTACCCCTTTGCCAACGACCCCAGCGTCAAGCTCCTCGGTGTTGAGGCTGGTGGTGACGGTATCGATACCGCTCGTCACAGCGCTACCCTCTCCGGTGGCAGCAAGGGTGTCCTGCACGGCGTGAAGACGTACATCCTCCAGGACAAGCACGGCCAGGTCGCCGAGACGCACTCCATCTCCGCCGGTCTGGATTACCCCGGTGTCGGCCCCGAGCTCAGCTCCTGGAAGGACAGCGAGCGCGCCAAGTACGTCGCCGCCACCGACGCCGAGGCCTTCATTGGCTTCCGTCTCATGAGTCAGCTCGAGGGTATCATTCCCGCGCTGGAGTCTGCCCACGGCATCTACGGCGCCATTGAGCTCGCCAAGACGATGAAGCCGGGCGAGGATATTGTCATCTGCGTGAGTGGTCGTGGTGACAAGGACGTGCAGAGCGTCGCCGACGAGCTGCCCAAGCTGGGCCCCAAGATTGGCTGGGACCTGCGTTTCTAAACAGGGGCAATGACTTGGGACGAAATGGGATTTACGAATGGCGTATCACACATTGCAGGGCGCATGAGGCGAAACTTCCATTTTCACGGTCTGTGGTTTTAAAAAAATGGAAAGCGGTTTTTGTAGACACAAACAAGAAAGGGGTTCTCATCTTGTAGACTTGAGACCCTCTAAAAAGTAGTTTGATGACATGAGAATTTTTGTACATATGATACAATGACTTTTTTTCCCGAAACATACACTCTATCTCAACATGTGACGACCACCACCATACTCAAAATCATATCCTCTGCTCAGTGACCGGCTCCCCAATGCCAGGCACATGAACATCCTCATACGCCTCACCATGCTCCGCCCCAAAGTCAGCCTCCGAGCCCAGCGCAAACTCCTCCATAATCATCTGCGCAGCCCTCTTCTCCAGAATCCCCCTGCTGACAGCGCTCAGCGGTCCCGGCGTAGCAGCATCAACCATGACGGTAACCAAATCCGTCTGATCCTCCCTCATCTCGCCCTCGACTCCAAGCTTCTCCCTCTCCTCCACATACCGGTCCCGGAAGGTAGCAGTCTGCATGATGAGCCACCTTAGCTTCCACCCTCCAGGGCCCAGCTCCTTGACGCGCGCGGCCTTGGTCTTGGTCACGTAGGCGTCGATGCCGCCCTCCTTACGGATGGTGCGCAGGACGCGGGTGGTGAGGCGGGTGCGGACCCAGGCCCCCAAGGATTCGGACCAGAGGCGCTTGCGGTGGACGTTGGGGCGCCAGGTGCGCGGGGTGACTTGGCCGTGTTTCGGGGAGACGTTGTGGCCGTGGCGGATCCGGGAGGCGCCGTAGAGGCCGTGGTTGGATTGTTTGTAG